AGAAGAAGAAGCACTGCCTATCCTTGTTGAATTATCAGTCATTTGTACAATAATTTGTACAATTATTTGTCACTTTCTGCTTCTCAGTGTCAGTGGGCCATTCCCTTTGTTCAATGTTCCTTTTCTTACCAAATTAATCCATTTGTAAATTACTCCCCATACCTATAATCTTTAATCTATCAATGTCTTCCCTTTTCCCTTTCAAAGACCTCCTGAAATATAATCTATACAAAGTTTTTTCAGCAGACTAAAACATTCCATATTATGTCTATCGATTCTAACTATCAATCCTAGTATTTATACTCATAAACACACTACTCACTGTAAATATACACTTGTTCATGCTCATCTTTTACTCAACAAATATTACTAAGCATCTATTATGTCCCAAGATTTGCTCTGTGGAACTTACAGAGTTAGTATATGTCCTTGCCACAGGGATCTCTCTAAACATCCTACATAATAAACAGGTAATATGCAAATGGTCATTACAATGTGTCACGTAATGACCAAACAGGAGGGCAGGGCAGCGAGCTACGAGCAGCAGAGAACTACAGGAGGGTGGGGCAGCAGGCGGAGAGCTACAGGAGGGCAGGGCAGCAAGCTACCAGCAGCGGTGGGCTGGGCAGCCAGGTGAGGCAAGCAGCAGCGAGCTACTTGTGCATGGATTCGTGTGCAGGGCCACTAGTAATACAATAATCTTTGTTAATATGGCTTCAAAATTCTAATTTCCCCTTTGTAAAAATTAATTATTCAAAACTACTTTACCCCATTCACTGTCTTTTTAATTGGTTATATGTCTGATATACTTTACTTTGTATAGTTAAATATTTAAACTGCAGTCTCAAGGAAAGTCTATATCAGTTTAATAACTGTGTCAAGTGCTCCATATAGAATCTATACGTATCAATCAATGTCTTTCATTTTTATTGAATCTTTCTATAGGTCACACTTTTTAGCAAATGCCACACTTATAAGCATAAGATAAATACCATTTGATAAAGACAGCCTTCATCCTATCCTATCTATATAATAAAAACCCAGTGGCTATAATTCCGTAACAACCAAAGACCGGTAACCAGGAGGCTGCATGTGCAGCAAGGTGTGCGCAGGTGGGCGGGGTGTGTGTGCGGTGAGGCATGCGCGGGTGAGGCTGCATGCACAGCGAGGCGCACGCAGGTAGGCAGGGACTTGACTCTGGGTCTCGCAGCGCCAGCGGGACTCAGAGGAGTCCCACAGTGCAGCGGGGTCCGGGGTCCCAGGTCTCGCACAATTTCCCACGGGTCTGGGTCTTGCACAATTTCGCATGCTGGGTCACTAGTATAAAATAAAAGCCCAGTGACAGAACAGCGGAATGACCAGAACAATGGGTCGACCAGTCGCTATAATATGCACTGACCACCGGGGGTAGACGCTCAACACAGGAGCTGCCCCTGGTGGTCAGTATGCTCCCAGTGGGAGCGCCGTATTGCTGACCGGGATGAGTGGCGTTCCCACAGCGGGAGCAGCCACTCGGCTGACCGGAATGAGCGGCACTCCCACAGCTGGCCAATCCCCGCAGGCCACGCCCCCCCCCCACCAGTGCATGAATTCAGTGCACCGGGCCTCTAGTTTATTATACAAGCTTTATCAATTCTAAATCAAATATTAACATTTCACAGAATGTAATTTGTCATAGATGTAATAAAATGACATATGTAAGCAGAACTTTCTCACCTCATTTGTATTTACTTCTATAAAGCAGAGTGTTAAAAGGGAAAGAGAATACTACGATTTTAAGACAGATTCAAGTTCTTGCTCTGTCACTAACCACAGACAAATTATTTAATTATCCTGAGCCTCAGTTTCCCTATCCTGAAGTGGAGATAAATTCCAACTCATACGGTTGTTGTGAGGATTAAGTAACACACTAAAAATCTAACTTAATGCCTATTACACAGTGGACATCAAGGAATGTCATTTACCTTCCCCTTCCCTAGGACTTACACCTGTGGTCAGAAGAGTATCAGGAAATCTTTCCAAGTTCAGTTACTTCTGTTTGGAATGATCTTCCTATGCTTCATGGAGTTAACATTCAGCTCAAACGCCATCTGCTCTTTGAAATCCAAAGGAAAAACTCCCTTGACTCTCCCATACAATTCTGGGCTTGTACTTACTAGTAGAGTTTATTTCAGTGTCTTACAATTATCTGTCACTTTCTGCTTCTCCCATTAGACTAGTGATGGCAAACCTATGACACTTGTGTCAGAGGTGACACGGGAACTCATTTTTTTGGTTGATTTTTCTTTGTTAAATGGCATTTAAATATATGAAATAAATATCAAAAATATAAATCTTTGTTTTACTATGGTTGCAAATATCAAAAAAATGTGTATATGTGACATGGCACCAGAGTTAAGTTAGGGTTTTTCAAAATGCTGACACGCCGAGCTCAAAAGGTTTGCCATCACTGCATTAGACTGTGAGCTCCTCACCATCAGGGACCATATCTCACTTATCTTGATCTTAGTTTTTAGAAAAACACCTGGCACTTTACAAGCATGGAACAAAAGTTTGTTGAATGAATAAACAAATGAGTGAATGAAGTCATTACTTAAGGAGTGCCCATAATTACTACTGGGTGACCCAAACTTTATATTTTTGCCCTTTATGGACTGAGATGTTTTTTACTTCTTTTGAATCTCTTCCTCATACCACTCAGCAGTGTACTATGGACATGTAAAGTCTGCAATAAATACTTTTGGATTATGGGATTCATATTACTCTTCCATCTTACAATTTTACTCTAAATTTAAAAATTATCCTAACGCATAGGACTTTTGGAAGCCGTGTTAAACAGGGGCTCTTCAACAGTTCTTGCAAATGCTAGAACTAAACTACAGCCACTTTTTCTTTCCATGTGTTTTTGAAAAAAGTAGTAATGGTTTCTTTCTAAATTGTTTCATTAAGAAACTAAGTATCATGAAGCCCTTTGATTCACTATGAAAAATGCAAATGACAACAGGCAAAACAGTTTAATAACTTTCAGCCAAAGGTTCCCCACCCTGCAGTCACAGGGCTGCGGACCAGCTGGCTGTACCACCTCACCCCTGGGAGGTGGCTGCTTTTCAAAAGTAAAACTGGCTAAGTAAGATTTGGAGGGTGGAGTGTTTTTTTTGTGTGTTTTTTTTTGGGGGGGGGGGGTGTCTTTTAAGTGTTTTAAAACGCACAAATGTAACTTCTATTGAAAATAAAGGTTATGTTATAGACTTTGGTTTCAGGTAGAAAAGATCTGGAAAAGATCTCAAAAACTAGCACCTTGGGGAAACTTCAGACAGCTTATGGATTTTAGAGTATGTAAAAACACATGAAGCTAGGTGTAATTTCATATTACATTTAAGTGATGTATTTCACATTCCTGTATGTACACACTTCCTGCCAAGTAGGGGCTGGTAAGCAGTTAACTGTCCACCAACTGCTCTTTACTTACACTACATAATAGTGAAAAAACAGAAAGATATTCTGACAAAGCCAAGTTGGGCTGGTACTTAAATATAAACTGACCTCTCTTTTGGGATCAGGTACAAGGAGGGAGAGGGAGAGAGAAACATGGATGTAAGAGATAAACATCCATCAGTTGCCTCCTGTACTCGCCCCCAACCAGGTATGTGGCCTGACTAGCCGAACCTGCAACCTTTTGGTGCACAGGACGATACTCAACCGAGCCAACCAGCCACGGCTGAAAAAATATCTATTTTTTTGGACTCTGTATGCCACGCCCGGATTGGAACTGGGCACGGGTAAAGCTGAGGGGGTCGCCCAAACCCGCAGCCGGTAGCTCAGGGGTCTGAGCGCCATCTTGGTCCTCAGCGTTCTACCAGTTTCTTGGCCGCCCCCGCCCCCCAGTTCCGGCGGGGAAGCCCCAACCTCCAGGCCCTACAGCTCCCTACAGGGCAGTTGGTGACCGGGTTGGAGACCTTGAATGTAAATCAACATCCTGGTGGTGAGGCCGGAGTAGTCCAGTCCATCCATATCTACCTGAAGTGCTTAGCAACAAAGCAAACGTGGTGTGAAAAATACATACATACATACAAATTGGTCTACCATTCATTCTCAATTTACAACCCCATGTGATAGGCATTATCCCCATTTTTCTAATTAAATATATATATATATATTTTTTACTGATTTCAGAGAGGAAAGGAGAGGGAGAGAGAGAGAAACATCAATAATAAGAGAGTATCGTGGATCAGCTGCCTCCTGCACGCCCCACACTGGGAACCGAGCCCGCCACCAGGGCATGTGCCCTGACCGGGAATCGAACCCTGACCTCCTGGTCCATAGGTCCAGGCGCAACCATGGAGCCACGCCACCCGGGCCCCACTTTTCTAATGAAGAAACTGAGGCCCAAGAGGACACAGGTGGCAAAGGGCAGGTTCAAACCCCTGACTGGAAAGCTCCAGCCCAGACACTCCAGGACCAATGCTTTCTTATGGCACCGGCCAGGGTGGGGGTGTCATCAGTGCCCGGACAGGCAGGCGCTTGGTTAGAGGGTCAAGTTCTCAGCCGGCAAGTTCTCATCTGCCGGAGCCTTGACACCTGGAGGCGCTCGGGTGGCTAAACAGGCACCAACAAGCCCAGGTGAGCCTCCCTCGCCGGGAATCCCGGGTTTGCACATGGGTCCTGAGGGTTTGCACACGGTCTCGGGGAAAGCGCCGGACACCCAGTCCCTGCAGTCACCACGCTCCCGGGGCGCCGCGGGGGCGGGGACCTCGGTGTCTCCCCACCAGCGCTGCCCAGCCGGGCAGCGCACAGGTGCACGACCGCGCCCCGCGCCCCCCGCCCGGGCCTGGAGGGGTGAAGAGAAGCGGCGGGGGCGACAGACCCGGCTGGGGGTAGGGGGCGCGGCCGGCCCGGCGCGAACCCCCGAGGGCGCGCGCGGCGGGGCGCTGAGGAGAAAGGATGCTCCGGCGGGGCGGGGCCGCGGTGGGGGAGGGGTCCCTGGCCGGACTCTCACTCACCGCCTCGCTCTCCTCCCGGCCCGAGCTCCGCGGCGGTCCCCGCTCCGGCTCTCACCGCGCGCGTCTCCTCTCGAGGCTCAACGTCCCGCGAAGACGCGCGGAGCTGCGGAGAAGCCCGCACAAGCGGAGGGTGTGTAGCCAGCGGAGCCTAGGAGATGGGGAAGGTGGGACGGCCGTTCTCGCCGCCACCGCGGACACCACAGACACGGTCGCCGCCGGCTCCTCTCAGCCACGGAAGCTGCAGACCCTCCCACCACACCCGCCTCCCGCCTTCCACGCCGCCCGCTGGAGGAGTGATAGCGGCACTGGCCAATCAGAGGCCGCGTGCAGGCCGGCCGGCGGGCCGAGGGGCGAGCGAGGAAGGGAGGGGCGCGAGGGAGAGGAGGACGGCGGCGGGACTTCCTGTGACTGACGGCCCGGAGCAGCCAATGGGAAGCGGGGAGATGACCTCATCGCCGAGGGAAGTCTGGAACTGGAGGAGCTGGGGCGAGGAGGTGGGAGGAGGTCCGCGCCGAGCCGGGGCGGGACGCTGGGGCCTTAAAGAAGCCGCAGGCCATTGGTCACCCTGTCCAGCGAAGGGCGGCGGACTCGGCTGGACCTCGCAAAGTTGCCAATGGGCCAATGCCACGAGCTCTTCTACCGCATTAATCCTCCCGACCCCGTTCCGACCCTTCTAGAGGGCTGAAAGGTCCCGCCGGGGACTCGTAAGTCGATTACTTCACTTTCACGCTTCCCAAAAGGATACACAATAAATTTCGCTCTGGCCGGGAGCCCTGAATTCCCGTTACCGCTCCCGCCCCACGAGGCCCGTCGTCTGAGTCAGTGTACCCACCCTACGGTAAAAAGCGAGGCTGCTGACACCTCCCTACACATCCCTACCTGCCTGGAATGTTGAGATCATCCACAGCGAAAGTGCTTTGGGCTTCGAGAAGGAAAAGGGGCCGAATGAACCCAGAAGCTCGTCTTAGGAGATTCCAGGAAGAGCATCTGCAAAGGGGTGGGCTGCACCAGATGACTCTGGGCTCTTGCAGTTCTAAAATCCCAAAATGCGGGTGTCCTGCTCTTTCTGGCACCCGCGGGTGCAGCGAAGGTGTGTGTGTGTGCGCGCGCGCGCGTGTGTGTGCGTGTGTGTGTGTGTGTGTGTGTGTGTGCACTGCATTAGGCACAGAGCCCACACATGGACCTGGTTCGTAACTTCAACGAGGAGAAAGAATGCAGGCGAACAGGGAGAGAGAAACAAGTAAAGCAAGGTCCGCCGCGGTAAGTGCCTTGGTGGAGGCGGACGTTTGCTCCCCATGCCCTCCCTCTGGGACGGAGCCCAGAAAAGGAGAAATAACGTCAACTTGGCAGGGTGGAAAAGAGGGGGAAGAGCTTTCCTGAAGCTTCCTGGGGATGGTGTCACCAGGCTGGGTTGGAGAAAGGAGCAACGGTACTAGGGCAGCGGTTCTCAACCTGTGGGTCGCGACCCCTTTGGGGGTCGAACGACCCTTTCACAGGGCTCGCCTAAGACCATCGGAAAACACATATATAATTACATATTGCTTTTGTGATTAATCACTATGCTTCAATTATGTTCAATTTGTAACAATGAAATTGGGGGTCACCACAACATGAGGGACTGTATTAAAGGGTGGCGGTGGTAGGAAGGTGGAGAACCACTGAACTAGAGGAAGAAGAGGCTAGCGCATTCTTCCAGGCTTCAGGAGGAGCAGTGTGAAGGTGCAGAGACTGAAAGGGGGCAACTCATTCTACATTCCAGGGTAAATTCTTACTATAATTCCCTATTCTCCCCCAGTGGTCTCCAGGGACTGCCCATTGGTGCAATTCTCTGAAGAAGGAAGGGGAAGTGTGCCTCCTCACTCCCTCCAACAGCTGCAAAGGCCACGGTGGCCCTGGGTATTCCCAGTTATTCATCTGCTAGAGGCCCAGTGCAGGAAACTCATGCCCGGGTAGGGTCCCTAGGCCTGGCCAGCGATCAGGGCCAATCAGATTCCCTGCCTCCTCGCCTTCTCTTTCCCTCCTCCCTCAGCAACCCCACTGGGCTGCTGGTCGCCCACCATGTTCCTCGCCACCCCCTGGTAGTCTGCGCACGTCAAAGTGAGCGATCAAACTCCCAGTCGAACTCCTGAGGAGACACCTTGCATATACACACACACACACACACACACACACACTAGAGGCCTGGTGCACAGATTCGTGCACTAGTGGGTGGCATGGCCCGCGGGGATCGGCCTGCTGTGGGAGTGCTGCTCATCCTGGTCAGCCAAGCAGCTGTGGACCCACCCTCTGAGCAGCTGCTAAATGAGGAAATTAGTCTGAGCTGATATTCCAGGGTAATGTCTTGGGTAAAGGCGTGCTCTGTGTCCTGGAGGAACCTAGTGGAGAGCTTTACACCCCAAAGCCACTCGGTGAATGTCCTTGATGTGTGACGCCAGGTGGGTGACACCATCGGGGATGTTCAGGACAGCCGTGCTTCAGGATCCTCAGCCATCAGGACAGCCTCCCCAGGGGGTCCACAGTCACATCCCCTCTTGCCATCCACCTATGCCAGCTCCCTGCGCTCTTTCTAGAACACACCTTAGAGGGCCTGCATCAGCTGGTGGGGTCAGGCCAGAGTCTGGATTGTCTCAGGTATTTGATAGGTGCAGAGACTGGGCCTCACCCTGGGCCTGGTAGCAGCTGCTCCCACTGTGGGAGTGCACTGACCACCAGGGGGCAGCTCCTGCGTTGAGGGCGCGTCATAGTGACTGGTCCACCAGTCGTTCTGGTGATTCTGCTGTTCGGCCGCTGGGCTTTTTTTTTTTTTTTTTTTTTTTTTCTGATTTTTTTACAGAGAGAAAGGGAGAGAGATAGAGAGTTAGAAACATCAATGAGAGAGAAACATCGATCAGCCGCCTCCTGCACATCTCCCACTGGGGATGTGCCCACAACCCAGGCACATGCCCTTGACCGGAATCGAACCTTAGACCCTTCAGTCCACAGGCCGACGCTCTATCCACTGAGCCAAACCGGTTTCGGCCCCTGGGCGTTTTTATATATAGATCTGTCAGCTTCAAGTTCAGTACCACGTGGCGGTCAGACTCTGAGTTGAGCAGGATTGTCGTGACTCCTCAGTCACACACCTTCCCCCACGGCAAGAATCCTTCCACAAAAGTCAAGTCCTGATGAAAGTATTTATTCAACATTATTCAGCATTTCTTGAGTAAGATATGTAGGGGGTATGATGAAAAGTCACTGCCCTGATGCTTTCACCAAACTGGGGAAAGTTAAAGAGCATACGGAGGTGACTATAAAGGCAGGCCATATCCCAAGTGTTAGACACTCCTCCCCCCCCCCCCCCCCGCCCCCCCCCCCCCCCAGCAAGGACGATGGGCCAGGTACAGAAACTCACCAGGGCATGCCTAGCAAGGGGCAAAACTGGAAAAACAAGAACCTGGCCTCTGGGGTAACCTATCCGCCCCTAGCATCTCATTGGTCATGCAGTCTGGACCTCCGATCTTCCATATCACTGGTCGGGCAGTTTAGACCCCCTGACCTTTTCCTCCCTGAAGATAACATCCAGGCCTCAGTTGTATTTCAGCTCCAGGCCCAGAAAAGCAGCAAAACCAGACAAGTGACTCCTCGGCTGCCTCAGGACCAGCATTAACTAATGACCCGCTGCCCTGGCACCTGACCAATCAGTGGAGACCAGGACCCTGAAACAGCACACCTGGAGAGCTGATGGATATTCTATTAAGAACCTTCCCTGAGACCTCCCCTAAGATTTCCACCTGCAAGAGAGAGAGATATACTCACGACAAAGAACCCAGTGCACATTTCCCTCCAAGGAGCACACCCATGCCATTCCCTTCCCTTTCACCTTCCCCCGCAGGCACGTATCCCCTAACCCAGTGATGGCAAACCTATGACACGCGTGTCAGAGGTGACACACGAACTCATTTTTTTGGTTGATTTTTCTTTGTTAAATAGCATTTAAATATATAAAATAAATATCAAAAATATAAGTCTTTGTTTTACTATGGTTGCAAATATCAAAAAATGTCTATATGTGACACGGCACCAGAGTTAAGTTAGGGTTTTTCAAAATGCTGACACGCCGAGCTCAAAAGGTTCGCCATCACTGCCCTAACCTCTAAGGCAGGGGTCCTCAAACTTTTTAAACAGGGGGCCAGTTCACTGTCCCTCAGACCGTTGGAGGGCCGGACTATAGTTTAAAAAAACACTATAAACAAATTCCTATGCACACTGCACATATCTTATTTTGAAGTAAAAAAACAAAATGGGAACAAAGACAATATTTGTATTTGCATGTGGCCCGCTGGCCGGAGTTTGAGGACCCCTGCCCTAAGGGACCTCCTGAGACTGCAACCAGTGGAACAATGGGCAGTGGCAGCTCATCCAGAGCTTACCCCCTGCACCTGTCTCCAAGGGTCCTTTCTCTCTGGTATAGCCCTTCCTTTTGGATGTCCCCATCTCCCATCCCCCTTTCCTTAAATACATCCAGTTGTATTTAATCACCATCTGAGATGGCTATTTAGCCTGCCAGAGAACCACTACCTTAACCTTTCACCAAGAGTCATGACTAACAAGAGGGTGCAGAAGTACACCTCAGAAAAAGTACTGCTGGTTGGAATGATTGGGGTAGGGCAGATTTCCCCAAGATAAAACCCAGGTGTACCTTTCCAGATAGAGTGTACCTAGACACAGCCTTCGTGAAAAAGCCCAGGTCAGAAGGAAGCAGACGTGTATTTTATTAGTCATGGGAAGAGGGGTATGCCCATTTACAGCCTCTCAGACATGGCAAACTGACCACTCAAATATGCCTGTTTTTGTTGTTGTTTTTTTAAATATATGTTTATTGAGTTCAAAGAGAGGAAGGGAGAAGGAGAGAGATAGAAATATCAATGATGAGAGAGAATCATCTCTCAGCTGCCTCCTGCACATCCCCTACTGGGGATAAAGCCAGCAACCCAGGCATGTGGGACTGGGAATCAAACTGTGACCTCCTGGTTCATGGGCCGACACTCAACCACTGAACCACACTGGCCAAGCGGCCTGTTCTTTTTGTTTGTTTGTTTTGGACAATTTATGTTGTATAGATTTTGTGTATACATACATGTCTATATTGTATATTTATAAAGTGTTTGTATGTATTTCTTGTGGCTGATTTGCCTTTCTCTTATCTCTGACCCTCGATCCTAATGTTTTCCCCAAAAGCTTCACAGAGCATGTCTAATTCCACATCATCCTGACAACATTCCAAATATTGGAAGCTGACGACTATGCCCTTTCACACCCCCTCTACCCATCTCTCCAATCAATGGGGATAAAGTCCCTTTTTCTTGCCACCGTTCGTTCCGCAGAGGATGGTTTCCATAAGCCTCACTGTCTTGATGACATCTTCCAGTTTGTCAGGTTCTACCAGGGACATGTGTTATTTTTATCCTTCCAGCAAATGTTCCCTTTCTCCTGGTAAGGGGAGCCTGATTTTCTCTGGGGAACCACTCCTCCCCACTCTCTGACTTCACTAATTCATTTTTCCCGTGGGGAGGACGGGCCCCGGTCTTAACCAACCAAAGCATTGTTCTCCCTCCCCATCACCAACATCTACAGTGAGTGATTTGGGGAAAGGTCTGAGACCGAAGGCAATCCAATCAGAATGGTTCCTGGAACCTTTGGTGAAACTACTGGGACAGAGAAATTCCCTTCGCCCTGGGGCTGCTGAGCTGTCTGGCTATGCACCTGGAGCTCACAGAGAGGGCCATGGGAAAGAACCTGCTCAAGGACAAGGCCAATATGAAAACAAACTCTCAGAGCCGAGACACAGATAAAGGCCTAGGGGAGTAATAACTTTGTCTGAGAACCTGAATCCAACCATTTTCTGACTATTTGATTTTGTAGGCCTCTTAGGTCAGGGTTCGTAGAAACACAGAGGTGCCATTTGCCGAGGGAGGAGAGGCCTCTAAGGGAGGAAGTTGAGCAGACAAGGGAAAGTGAAAGAGCCAAGCAAGGCTCGCCTGATCTCACCTCGGCCCGGACCCACAGGGGAGAGTTCTGGAGCGTAA